AAATATGACGTTGGATAGACTGACGCAGGGACAGACGGACACACGGACGGACGGACAGACTCAGGAACTCATGGACGGTCGGGGACATGTATCCTAACATGTATGATCTATGTAGTAAATTGAATGAAAACTGACAAAGCATGTCCAAAATACGACATTTCAAAAAACAAGATGGCTGCCAGTCAGCCATCTTTGAAATAAATCATCATGGACATGTATCCTAACATGTATAATCTATGTACCAAGTTTGAATGAAAACTGACAAAGCATGTCCAAAATACAACATTTTCAAAAAACAAGATGGCTGCCAGTCGGCCATTTTGAATCGAATCGCTAAACCACTGCCTGTGCATATGTCCCACATAAAGTACTAGGCACATGCAAAGAATGAACGGAATCGGTCCAAGGGACTCTGAGATATGACTCCGGACAGACGCACGAACGGACGGAGACCGAATTATAAGTCCCCGTTTTCGGACTTCTCATCGTACCCATTCAGATTTCAAACTCAGCTGTTTGCGGGAGATCGCATACTTCCAAGCACATTTCGAATTCAATCTCTGGGCTGTACACATCCCCGGTCGGAGCAATGTTGTGGACGCGCCAAGCCGTTCACATTTATCTGACATTTACAAGTCTCGCGTGGAAGAGTTACAGTCAAACTTTGGCATCTCAGAAGTCGTTGTACCTCAGGAAACGTTCCAGTTTATTCATCCTTGGTAACTTGTAGCTTTTCTTTCTTTTTCGCTTCTGCAGGTAGTCAAGCTCCGCTCGCTGCTCTGGACCACCAGGCGTCCCACTCACTCCACTCAGCTTTTGCTTCCGGTTCATTGCGCAACATTACAATTCAATGGCGTGCATTCTTCCTTTTCTGCCGTTTCTTTCGCATCCAGCCAGTTCCGGCCACAACACGAACGATTATTCGCTACACACAGTTCCTCGCTTGCTCGGTTTCAAGCACAGCATCTATTCGCAACTACCTCAACGGTGTTCGGCTGCTGCATCTTTTCGTCACCAAGACCACACCTTCACTTGACTCATTCAAACTGCGCCTTGTCCTTCGGGGAATACAGCGTATAACAGCGCACCAGCCTCGCCGCAAGTTGCCTATCACACCGGATATCCTTCTTCGAATTCATCGCCTCTTGGACTTTACATGCCCGCTGCACGTTACGCTGTGGTCCGCTTTCCTCATCGCATTTTTTTCGTTCCAACCTGGTGCCCCCTTCTGATACAGCTTTTGACGCCCGCATTCATCTCTCGCGGGGCAGCGTCGGACACAACACCACAGGTCTGATCATTCGTATCACATGGTCAAAAACCATACAGTTTGGCGAACGGGTACTGCACATTCCCATCCTGGCTATCCCTGGCTCCGTTCTCTGCCCAGTATCAGCCTACAAGCAGATGGTGGACATGTTGCCAGCACCTTCAGAAGCTCCCCTGTTTCTTGCACCGTCATCTACCGGCAGAACGCATCCTTTGATCTACCAGTCATTTGTTCAACATCTGCAATCATTGCTCAGCTCCACAGGGCTAGACCCAAACAGCTACTCCGGTCACAGCTTTCGTTGTGGAGGTGCCTCCTTCGCATTTTAGTCGGGAGCAGACCCTGAAGCAATTAAAGCGCAAGGCGACTGGCGCTCACAAGCTTACCTGTTCTACATGAAATCCTCATTCGGTCGTCGCCTCAGGACGGCATCATGCATTCGCGCTGCTATCAAGTCTGGCCAAGTCGATCTGACACTTTGAACATTTGCTTTTGGCGGCTTTCATTTTTGGCCTTTTAATGCCGTATTTCGCTGTATCCCAGAAATGTAATTTTAGATTCACAGAATAAAACTAACTTTTTATTTTCTTTTGCCGCCAATTCGCTTGAGTCGGGTTCGTTCTTTGCCATTGAATAATTAACATATTGTTAACCTCTATTTTTTTTTGTGGAATTCAATTATAAAATTTCAGTGGCCAAGCATAGAAGTACAAAGTACACTAATTTTGCACTAAACATGGAGAAAAATTGAGCAATAATAAAATTAAATTTGTAAACTACATTGTTTTTAGAACAGAAATGACAACACTTACCTGAGTCTCATGTGCAACTGTAGTGCTTGCAAAAGCCTATTATTTTTCCCTGTACTGGAATGCTTTCCCAACCAGCTCGGAAAGTTCACCATGAATGAGAGATTGCCTTGCATTATCTCACCAGGAATCACACTTGCAAAAACAGCCTGCAAATAAGAACAGAAAGTATTTTTATAATATTTATTGACATTAGATATCACATACATGTACTTGCATAATGTAGTGACATTGTAATTATGCGGGATTAATTCTGGCATGACATCTACTTTTTGTTCATTTATGTGGCGGCAATACATGCAACACTCTATGATGTCAACACAGTACGGTAGTATGAGACATCTTAATTCTTGTAACTGTTCTTGCAAGACTATAAACTTTAAAGTGCCTGTGAAATGGCTGCTATTTTCACGCCTAAAATTATCAATTGATACATAAATATTATTAATTTTTATGTTTCTAAGCATGAATTATTTTTTTAAGTGAAAAAATGTGTTTTAAACTCAGTCTACGGCAACTTTATTATTGTGTATTTTAAAACGAGGTTCCTCATTAGCTTCTCATTTGCATACAGAAATTCCCCTTGTGACGTCAGAAGGGGAAGTCGCATGGCAGCTTGCATTGCCGATACGTGTAAATAAGGCAAATTTCTTGTGCAGTTTTCTCGTCTTTGACTATATTGTTACTTATGTACTTGTTCGTCGAGGAGGAATGGACCATAGTATCAATTTTTGTTGCATGGGGTAGAGTTAGATGCGAAATATGTCCGTTCTGGTGTAGCTGGTCACCGGGATCGTCACCGACACCGGCACACGTTTGTACACTGTTGCTGGACAAAATAGAATTTGACGTCGGAATTATCTCGTTATTTAGCAGGTTACTAGGCATGTCACTACACTGTTTTATTTCATCGATTGTCTGAGTAAAACTTTCAAAATCAAAATAAAAGAACATATTTTGACATTCTAAACATTAGACTATAGTGATCACTATAAAATAATTAAACAAGCAGCCTGTCGGCTGAGATAGCTCCGCTGTTAGCAATGCACATGGCAATTAAAGAACAGAAGATATCATTAGAAAATGAACAAATCTGAGAGAGGTCCACATGTAGTACCTATATGTATAATATATCAAAGCAATTGGACTTGCGGTTTTCAACAAGAAGTCGAAAATATCACTTTTTACCAAAAATTAGAGAATTAAAGATATCATTACAAAATGAACAAATCTGAGAGAGGTCCACATGTAGTACCTATATATGTAATATCAAAGCAATTGGACTTGCGGTTTTCAACAAGAAGTCGAAAATATCACTTTTTACCAAAAATTACAAAAATATTCACCAAAATTAGAGAATTGAAGATATCATTACAAAATGAACAAATCTGAGAGAGGTCCACATGTAGTACCTATATATGTAATATCAAAGCAATTGGACTTGCGGTTTTCAACAAGAAGTCGAAAATATCACTTTTTACCAAAAATGACAAAAATATTCACCAAAATTAGAGAATTAAAGATATCATTACAAAATGAACAAATCTGAGAGAGGTCCACATGTAGTACCTATATATGTAATATCAAAGCAATTGCACTTGCGGTTTTCAACAAGAAGTCGAAAATATCACTTTTTACTAAAAATGACAAAAATATTCACCAAAATTAGAGAATTGAAGATATCATCATGAAATGAACAAATCTGAGAGAGGTCTACCCAAGGTACATATACACCAAGTATCAAAGCATTCAGGCTTGTAGTTTTCAAGAAGAAGTCGAAAAAGTAAAACATTGACACGGACGACGACGACGACGGACAATCACTCATATAATAAGCTCCGCTCGACAAAGTCGACAGCGGAGCTAAAAAACGACAAATCACAGTTACTAAATAAATGACAGCCGCGTGGAAGTAAATTGACATTTTGTTGAAATAGGTAAACGCGTCAGGTCACGGCGCGGGCAAGTGCTTTAAAAGCGGCGTTTAATTGGATAACAAAAATAATCGAGATCGACACACATACAGATAAATTCAGAGTGGATTCGAGTTAGCTTGATCCATGGCGTGATTGTCATAATTATAACATCGTATTAAAACTTTATTTGGTGGAAACACATTGACCAAGCCCGGATTCTTATTTCATAAATTATTACGCAGATCAAGCTGCAAGCATGGAGGTAAAAAAGAACAGAGGTGTGAATTTGACATTCAACACCAATCACCAAACAATTCAGAAACTTTTAGCCTTCGAAAATGAAAACAATTAGCAGTGTGTAAGGGCTGTGTAATTTCCTGTTTGCCCGACGCTTCGTTTTCGTGTCACTGTCAAAATTATTGCTACCTTTTACTTAACAGGGACTAAATGGTCTCTATAAAACGATAATCAGGATCGCAAAAAATTCAACTGATTTGAAACACTTGCCGGACGTCTCTCTCTCTTCTGAAATCCGCCTCGGTGATCATGGGCTGGTCCGGAATCTATTTCTTTCAAAAGTGTTGCACCAGGTTTACGTTGTCGGCGTTTCTCTTTAAACCTAGTCGTATTTTTTCATGGACGAGGACAATTGAATGAATCTAAGGTTAAGTGATGTCGCACCTTTGGATCGATTAGAAACGTGTGAATACATACACTATGGCTATACGTTTCACTGCAACTGCCCACAACACAACATCTAAAAACTCTCTCTCGTAAAAAAAAAAAAAAAAAAATAGACAAAAAAAAAGAAAAAACACCGACCGAAAAATGTATATCGTTTAAAAGTATACTGAACGACCAGTGTTATTACGGCTCAGGGGATGACTTCCTCTCACATTTTGTCATTTGGTGGCGCACTTTCGGCGAGAGTCGGAAATCCGGAAACAGTCGACAGTTTCACGATAGGTGGGCGTGGCTACAACACGAGAAATATCCCAAATTTACTTGGATACGAGTAATCATTTTCAGCAAAAAAATCAATAACTACCCTTTTCAGTGGGACACAGATTTCAAATGGAAACGTGAGGGTGGAGGGTGGGCATTGCACAGGCACTTTAAGTAAAATTAAGTCTGGAGCCCTGGCATTAAATAATGTACTACATGTAGATGCGGTTTTCATTACAGGCAATGTCAGTAACATGATAAGAATTCAACTGTCAATATTAACTCAGTGAGTGTCTAATTTATAAAATCTAATTTAAGGTCACAAAAAATAGATATTCTGCAGTTGATTTGTTATTACCTATACACAACTTTAATTATCTACTTTTGAATATAAATAACACTACTTTTGGACATAAATGGTATATTACTTTTGGACATAAATAATATACTACTTTTGTACCTAAATGGTATATTACTTTTAGACATAAATGGTATATTACTTTTGGACATAAATGGTATAATACTTTTGGACATAAATGGTGTAATACTTTTGGACATAAATAATATACTTCTTTTGAAAATAAATGATATATTAATTTTGGACATAAACAATATACTACTTTTGGACATAAATGATATATTACTTTTGGACAAAAATAATATACTACTTTTGGACATAAATGGTATATTACTTTTGGACATAAATGGTATATTACTTTTGGACATAAATAATATACTACTTTTGGACATAAATGGTATATTACTTTAGGACATAAATAATATAATTCCATTTTGGACATAAATGGAATATTACTTTTGGACATAAATAATACACTACTTTTGGACATAAATGGTATAATAATACTTTTGGACATAAATGGTATATTACTTTTAGACATAAATAATATACTACTTTTGTACATAAATGGTATATTACTTTTAGACATAAATAATATACTACTTTTGTACATAAATGGTATATTACTTTTGGGCATAAATAATATACTACTTTTGGACATAAATGGTATATTACTTTTGGACATAAATAATATACTACTTTTGGACATAAATGGTATAATACTTTTGGACATAAATGGTATATTACTTTTAGACATAAATATTATACCACTTTTGTACATAAATGGTATATTACTTTTGTACATAAATGGTATATTACTTTTAGACATAAATAATATACTACTTTTGTACATAAATGGTATATTACTTTTAGA